TCCGCCTCCTCAAGAGCTGCGCTCTAATTCGGCGTTAAACGGCTTTCATTTTTTTAATAATGTCATTGGGTTTTAGAGACAGCGAAGGGAGAGTGGATTTCAACACTGTAGAGATTACCAAGCAAAGATTAAGTGAATGGTGGCAGAAAACGAGAGAAAACAAAGTATTTTCTCATTAACTGATGGCAAGGGGGGTTTATAGCCCCACTTTCTTTGCAGTGCGGAGTGAATATAGATTTCACATTTAAATATTCTAAGCTTAAGTGGTAAAACAAAATGGCTAGGTGGCGTAAGCTACCGCCCGATCCAAAGGGCTCAGCCGGATTCATCCATCCATCCATCCCTCTCATCCGTTGTCTGCCGCTCCACCTTTTCCATTTCGGCGGCCGCTTCTTGTGGCGATCTGCCGGGCTTTGTGCCACAGCACTCGTCGAATGCGTTCAAATGCGAGAGTCAAACGACAGACGCCGGCGTTCCACGTTCTAATGCGTTCAACGGGTGCGGTGGAAACGAACGCTGTTAGCTTTAGAGATTCAAACACTGATCCTTCCAACCAGAGCTGGGTGTTCTGACATCCCGCGCCCTCTCGTCTCCTCGTCTTCCTGAATTTTTCGGCCCATGTCCGCTCAACAATGTTTTATGCTCTACATAAGACGCCAGACCGTCGTCCTTCGCAGAAGACCAACAATAACACATTTATTTATATTTTTTAACAATTCTTCTTAGTGTTTTAATGCATGGAGAACCTATAAAGATGGTGGCACTGACTTCGCACAGCTAGTTTTCCGTCCCGAAGAAGGGTCTTGTCTTCTTTCTCTGGTACGTGTACGTTTTGAAGAAGGACAGGTTAAGTTCTGGAGACGAAGCTCCGACGCGAGCTCTCTACAGCAGATAACCCTGGGCTTACACGAAGTCAAAATAATACAACAGAAGACGACGGCATGGGCTTCTGCTGGATTCTGAAACATCTGCATGAAAAGCGTCTCAGGGCGCATTCATTGCTGTGTTTGGGGGTTTCGCACGGAAGTTTTCTGGCTTACCGCATTTACAATTAATTTCGCGTTGGCTGAACTGGTGTTCTAAAGGAGAAAAAAAAAAGAAATTAGGTTGTGTGTATGTTTGTACCACCTAGAACTTAGTCTGCCTCAACGGGCGACTTGTCTCCCAGCTGTATAAATTTAGCCAGTGTAATACAACCCTTGGACTGGGGTCTTTAACACGCACCACGCAGTAGTGATACACGCCGGTACAATGCTCATCCAGATCAAAACAGGAAGGAGTGGGGATTGAACCCAGGATCCCTGGGTTCTGCAGCTCGAGCTTCCGCCCAACGGGCTTCGAGCTGGTGTGCGCTAGAAGACTTTTTTTTTTAATCTTTATTACATCATACACAACGGAGATACGTTCAGGCTAAACGTACAGTCTTTTGATTAGCACGTCTCAATAAACATATTGGGGGCTCTTTAGGAGTTTCTCACACTTCCCAACCCACTGAGGAACAGTATCCTGATGTGCATATGTACTACGTATTTGAGTCACAAATTCTATAAAGTATGCCTCAACCGGTAGCGGGTTAAGGTCCGCATGCCTCACCGCCATCCGCGAACACCAGATGCCGTATACTCCTACTAACATTATAAGGTCGTACGGTACAAGTTCCTGGGAATTGATTGGAAGAAAACGGATAGAATGTGCTGTAATTTGTAGGTCTTTTTTCAAAGTTCTCAGCAACACATCGCAAAACAACAGGGCATCCCAACAGAAAATAAACACGTGCTCTATATTTTCGGGGGCTTTACACAGCAAGCAATTGGTGGTCCAAGGAACAAAAATACCTTTCTCGTGAAGCCACACTTCACGGGGAGCGTCGAGGTATGAAGTTTGAAAAAAAAGCTTTTCGCACGTGGCTGGATTGCCATTCTCTTGACGCGACAAAGAACATCCTGACCGGTTTCCTGGTTGTACAATGCACGATAAAAAGGCTCCGGTCATACAGGGCGCTGGACAAATATTTTCTAGTTATGCAAGACAAATATTCTCTGGAATAGCGCAACGCCAGAAAATGGTATGCTTCAACGACCTCCTTTAGCGATCCAACAATTCTTGTTGGCTGCTCGCCATGACTCGAGACCAAAAACAAAGGCCAGTGCCCGGCCAGTTTTGTTTGAAATACCGCGCGTACGAAAGGCTGTTCAGTATCCCGCAGGAAAATGAATCGCGACAAAAGCTGCCGGACAAACAAATCCGATAAACCTAATCACCCCAAAGGAATACGGCGGAAGAGGTTATTTTCTTCTCATTGGCTCCCAGTTTGATTTCCAGATGAATGTAGCACGTATCCTATGACCTTTCCTCATAACACTTTGAGCGCAATGTAATACTTGAAGCACATACATGAGCCTAGCAACAAGAAATATGTTGCAAGCCGTTGCTCTAGCGAAAATTGATAAGTCGCGGTTTGGTCACCGTGATACCCATTTTTTCATTTCAGTGGTGGCTTCGGACCAGTAAACACTTGGATTACGCATGTGCTGAAGTGGTACGCCGATGTGTTTCGTAGGTGTTGAACCCCACTGGGGACCCCTTCAAACTCTGAGGGCTTTGTGGCCCATGTACCATGCCAAAAACCTGAACATTTTTCTAAATTTACAGCCGCACCGGTAATGTCGCAAAAGTGCTTAACTAAATCAATAACGTTGCTTACACTTTTTGTTTTGTTTCTACAAAAAAACTGCTACATTATCAGCATACGCCAATACCTTCACTTCTATTGAGTTCAGCGAAAACCCATGGACGTGTATTTTGTTAGCAACGCTCAAGCATAAAGGCTCAAGATAAAGAGCGAATAATAACGGCGAGAGCGGGCAACCCAGACGTTACGCTACGATTTACAGTTACGCTACGATTTACAATTAGTCGCGTAGAACAGCCACTATATGCCATTCGTATGCCTTCATAAATAACATCTCCAATGTTGATGTGCCGCAGCATGGCCCAAAGAAATTTGTGACGTACGCGATCAAATGTTTTTTTCTAAATCAATCTGAAGCATGGCAATCTGATCTTCTTCTCTACAACATTGTAAAATGCTTCTGGCTACGTGAACGTTTGTTTGGATCGTCCTGCCGTTTATGCCACACGTTTGATGGTCACCCACCAATTGGCAAATTACGTGCTGTAGCCTTCCATTGAGCATTTTTGCTAATATCTTATAATCTACATTACATAGACTTATTGGTCGATAATGTCTACACGTCCTAACTTGTCGGCGTCCTCTGATTTTGGAATTAACACAGTGTGGGTTCTAGAAAAAGACAGTGGCAATGATTTTCTTTTATAAGATTCCTCTATGACAGCGAGAAGAATGGGAGCGAGTGCTTCTCTGAATTTCTTGTAAAAACTTGAGCAAAGCCCGTCTAGGCCGGGCGTTTTATTACCGGGCAGGTCGCCTATTGTCTTTTCGACTTCCTCTAGGTTTATGGGTCCCTCCAGCCATTCCTTTGTTTCGTCATCTATTTTCGGCATGATAGACAAGAGTTCGTCAATTTTATCATCTTGTCGTTCTGATGGGAGTTCAAAAAGTTGTCGATAATGTTCCACGAAGGCTTCCTCAATGCTTGTTTTGTCTGTAGCTATGTTACCATTTCTCTCTATTTCGAGAATTTCTTTGGACAAAGCATACTTTCTTTCCGCTATCAAGGCGTGTTTGGTGGGTTTCTCACCCCAGACAAACCGCTGTGCTCTTGGACGTACCGCAGCGCCTTCGTATCGCTCTTTCTGGAATTTCTCGAGGCGTGATTTGACATTCGCGATGTCCTTTGCTCCCCAACCAGGGAATTCGCATTCAGCCTCACACAAAGTACGTAAATCCTGCTGCAGTTTTCGCTCTTCTGCCCGAGCGTAAAACTTCAGCCTGCTCGATCTTTCGATTGCTGACATTTGTACTTGCTCCTTGTACCGCTCCCATCGTTTCAATTGAAATGTCTCATAGTGCTCTGCCATTTTTTTCAGCACGTCATCTACTGTAGCTACGAATGTTTCGTCTTTAAGCAGACTGCTGTTCAACTTCCACAGCCGCCAATTGAACTTTGTTTAGGGAGTTTGATTTTCTCCAATTGTGGCCTTTACGAGGTAGTGGTCACTAAAAAACACTGGTTTTACACAATAAGAGTTGATGTTATGTACAATGTCAGCAGAAACATAAACACGATCAAGGCGTGCGTGCGAAGATTCTTGAAAGTGTGTAAACTGAATTTTTTTAGTTCCGCTCGAAATGTGAAAAACATCTTCCATGCTATTTTCTGCTATTATTTCACTCAGCAGATTTGCAATAACATCTGTGTTACGCGTTATTGGAAATCTATCACCTGCATCGCATACACAATTATAGTCTCCTAGAAATATAGTGGTCCGATTTGATTTGATGTAATGCGACATATCGTGGAAAAACAGGGTTCGCTCATTGGCTTTACACGGGGCATAGACACAAATGATTCGCCATTGAGCGTCAAACAAATTAAAGTCGCATAATATAAAGCGTTCATGATCATCAGTGATAAAATCTACATCAAAGAGAGGGTCAGATTTTTTAAGGAACAAAAAACAGCCTCCTCCCGTGCCAATTGCATGCGTTACACACACCTCATACGAAGTAAGAGAGGGTTGTAGAGCTTTCGTAACTTGCTCTTCCTCCGACATTTTTGTTTCTTGTATGTCTAGAAAGTCTAGTTGCTCTTAGTGAAGCAAACGTAATAGCTGTTTGCGAGTAGAATTTAAACCTCTGATATTGAGTGTACCAGCGTTAAGCCAATAGTGGGGAAATTAGAAATTTTGTATGCAGACATTATTGGGGCGGAGAAAGAGGTTTGTAATGAAAAGCGGTTTACAACAACTTCAGGCAAAACTTACATAATTCATAGCTGTGGCGACAACCACGAATAAACATTCGAATAAAGGAAAAAAAAACTGACGGTAACTGTTCTTTATGTGAACCCATCCACCTACTGCAGCGAGGTTTGCTCTCGTCTCTCCTCGGGCGGAGCTCGGGACTTGCGTTTCTTTCTTCCTTGGGGCTTGCTCCAGTCAGGCCCTTCGAGGTCGGGGTCTTCCTCTTCGACAAGATCTAGCGGTCGCTTGAAGGGATCGGAGCTGTCGTCCATTTCCGGGTCAACTTCGGAGGCATCGTCTACAGAGCGGTCGTTCCCGTCGACTGACTTCTGTCGCTGGCTTTTTGAGGAGCCTGGAGCGGCTCTGTCGGTGTCTGCGCCATATCCGACGCAGGCAGCTGTCTTGTCGGCTTCGAGAATTAATGCGGTGATGTCATCATCTTGTGATGTACCCCGTTTGTCAGCACCTGAAGGTGTTTGGGTATGGGTGGTGGTTGGGTGCCCAGTGCCGTCTTCGATTTTCGAGGCTTTTTCTTCATCGATGAGGAATTCCGAGTTGTCTTCCTCGGGAGCCGGTCGCATTACAGTAACGTACGTCCGGATGCAGTCCTCTTGTTCGTGACCAAAACGATGGCACTTATCACAGCGAGGGATGCGACATGCTCGGCGGATGTGGCCTGTTCTCTTACATCGAAGGCAGAGGGGCGCTCTTCCGGGGACAAAAACGAGTACGTTGCTGCCGAACAGACACAGCTGGTGCGAGAGGTTTTCCTTGGTGACGCCTTCCCTCAGGTTCATTCTCACCAGCCTTGTCGTCGTCTGAATATTCTGGAAGCCTTCCGCCCTCCATGTGTCTCGCGATACTTTGTTGATTTTTCCGTAAGGCTCTAGGGCCCTCCGCACTGTGTCGTCGCTTATGTGAATAGGTATCCAGTGGAGCCGTATTCGTACCTCGCGCTCATCGGAATCGATGAGCAGGCATCTTTTTTTCTTTTACCTCAAGTTCCTTAGCTTCCAGAAATTTTCTTTTCGCTGTCAGGGAGTTGAAAGTGAAGAGCCAGGCATAATTCATCTGGTACGCGCCGGCTTCGATGAGGTCGTTTAGAACGTCGTGGCGTTCCATTTCTCCTCGAAAATCGTCAATCTTGTACGGGCGTCCGGTGGTGTCGCATTGAGCAAATACGGAGTTCAAAACTTCAGTACCTGTACGCAGTGACGGCAGAACCACTCGGTAGGTATCCTGGGACATTTCAGCAGATGATCCACGGCTGGTGAAAGCCGTTGAAGACGCTCCATAAGAGCTCTTTTTTTTTTTCGACCGTTTTGATCGGCGTCACGCGCTCCTCTCTGCGCCAGCCTACTCGACCACCGATCCCCCCAACTGTGTTCTAGTACGCGTGTACTTTGTAAACAGTGGGACCATTTTTAGTCGGGTCCTACGTTCCTATTAATGTACTGCATTGCATCCACTATAACATCGGCGCCTTCCCATTCGTTAAGTCCCCCTTTAGTTGCATACCGTTTTCCTTTGGGTCTTTTTATTTGCTTGTGTCTGTTTCTTTTTAGTGCCTATATACCTGAAAAGGTTTTTTGGCGTACTTTATTCATATATTTTTTTAGTTTGAATTCTGCTTTTCTAATTGATTCACTTTTTTTTTGTTTTTCAGCTGCTGTGTTCGTGCGCCACCCTTCTTATTTATTACGGTGATAGTTGTTGGTGGGATACTTCGAGGTTCTGCGCCGTCGACTGCGCTCCATATCGAACGGGGCCATTTTCGGCACTATACTCTAAAACATTTCACTGGCTGCTGATAACAAGATACCAAGCAAGCAAGATAACGTGCATGGTCATGCATGGTAGCAAGATAACATGCATGGTCAGTAAAACAGTTCCCGTCAGGCAATCCGGCAGTGCACTGAGATAAGTGCCAATGTGATCCAGAATCGGCACAAACAACAATTCTCGGGAGAGGGAGGCACTCACTTGATCGAATGACGTTTTAGCGAACGCCCACGTTTCGCCGAATGACACTTTAGCGAATAGCCGGACGCCGCGAAGCGGCGTTTTTGGGTGGGCCAAATGGGTTCACATTTTTGTAATAAGCCGCCGCAGACTGTCGCCGCGAATCGGCGTAAGCGCAGCGCGGCGGATGGGTTAACGGGCGCCCCCGTTATTCGCTAAAACGTCCATTCGCTCAAATGTCGCTGTTCGCTAAAACGTCATTCGCTCGTGTGATACGGACCCCTCGGGAGGCACGCCGACAAGACTGCCTTAGGATTTTACGATGCACTGTTTATCACAAAGCAAGGGGGAGGCAAGTACTTTAGTGCCCCGCCAATGCACCTGACAAATTAGAAATTTTTATGTTCTTAACGAATAGTCAGAAGTATGGTATTAATAGCCTGTGTTTGTTTCAATTATCCTTGATTTGAAGGTGAACTTCGTCCTGTCTTCTTTCTTGTCCGTGTTTATTCGGCGCTTTTCGTTTAGCACGAACACGCTCCCCTCTTACGCAGACAGCTGAAATGCTCTTTACTAGCTCTTTTACTTGCACGATAACCATATGCCGTGGCCTAACGGTTATCGTGCTTGCCTCCCACGCGTAACTCCCGGGAATCGAACCCTGGCTCTTCGCGTGGGAGGCAAGCACTATAACCGTTAGGCCACGGCCGCGCTGCCTCCTTTGTGAGCTGCGCGCGCGGCAATACGCCCTCATTGGTTCCAAAACGGTATGGAATTTTCGTCCGGTGTATTACTCGGTTTAATGCGAAACGCCTATGCGGACTCTATAGATGGTGCGCGCTCGCACCTTTACCGTTCCTTCAGCCCATCTGCTCCAAAATGACACCTTAGTGGCTCCAACGTCACGCCTCAGCTATTGCTGCGTTTCACCTTACGGGTTGCGTGAGGAATTACGATATCTTGTTTATTGATTCATTTATTTTTTGCATAAGCAACTTTTCACCTTTCTTCCATGGGTTATTGGTATACGCATATGGTTTAGTCTGGCTGTATAGAGGACTGCATTTCGCAGTTGAAAGAGTGGTTTCCAGTTTCTCTAAGCTCTTCACGCCAGAGCCTTTTCGGGAAAAATATCATTTCTTTTTTTTCGCTGAAGGGTCGTAAAGGGATCCAGTCACAGCTGCATCCCATATCATCGACCTGCGGGCTGCTATTCGAGATCTCCTCCGCTTTCCAAAAAAAGGCGTGTCGTCCACGAAAAGTTTTCGTCATCGCCGGTCCTCCCGCTCCCTTCTGCCCGAGCGCATTTGCTATGCGTCCCCGCGGCGGCTGCGGCCGACAGCGCCGTCAGACGCGGCAGCAGCGACGACGCCTGCTCAAAGCAAGATCGGAGGATGATGTCACAGCCGTCGATTCGGGCGGACCGCTCTGCCATTCAGGGAGCCGTCCGACAAAACGCTAGCTTCGTGCCAGTAACAAGCCATAAGCAAATAAAGAAACAAGAACAAAACGCCTTGTCTCGACACTTGACAAGCTTAGGAGAGGAACGATCGCCTGGGGAACAAAGACGGGTCGGCGAACACGATCTTTAGTTGCCGAGCGTTGTATTTAAGATAGCGAGGAGGTCTCTAAAAATGTCGATGGATTGAGCAACAGGGCGAGACGATGGGAAGGTCGACACCACGAAAGAGGATTTCTGATGCTTTTGTCGAGCTGAAGTGTGGTGAATAACCAGCTAGTGATAATCTGTACTTAAAGTGCACGTTGATATACTATCGCGGAGATGTTCTTTTCTTTCTAAAAGTGTTTTGTATTTTGTTTTGCTTTTCAAAATGCACTCACGTGACTAGGAATTGAGATAGAGGAGTAGGATCAGAGAGCGCGGGGACGCCACGGAGAGCCGAGCCCTGTCTGGTGATTTGTGGGTAGACACAAAGCTAGTTTCCTTCGTCTCTATTAACTCTTCGAGCGCGTTTGAACGCCGAACGCTAGCGTCCGGCTTTCAGCGTTCGCATTCGAACGCGTTCGAAGAGTGAGTGGGGACTTTTCATCTACCCACTAATCGCTCCAATCAGAGCTGAGCTCTCTAGCGTCTCCGCGCCTTCTGATGTCCTCCTCTCCTCCAATTTGTGCCCGCATAAAGTCCGACGCACCGTAACAAGTAGAGAAGTCACGTCCTGACCAGTCCGGGCAATATCTCGCTTTCGCGCTGCTGATGACGTCCGCCTACATTCAAGCCAAAAAATGGCTGCCCCAGAGAACCAGAACTCAGTGCATACTATAACTCGAGCTTTTTTTTTTTTTTTTTTTTTTTTTTTTTACGCCAAAATTTCATTGCTTTCAGAATTTTGAAGTCATATTTACACGCGCGATTTTGAGGTATATTTTAGTCGATCGCGTCTGCTCGGAGATAACGCACAGTTATGTCTTAGAAGTAGCTTCGCAGGGTCAGAAAGCAACAAAAACGAGATTTAATAGTAATAAGAATAATTCATTTATTTTTTCAACAAAACGTTGAAAGATGACTAGGGAAAAAAGCTGTAAGTACAACTTGCCTGGCCCCTAGCCACCCCAAATGAGCAGTCGCAATGCAAGCACCAAAAAAAATTATACAATGACGTTTTACAAATTCATAACATGAGTGAAAAATCATCACTCAAATGAAAGAGCGTTTTACAAAGTAATAACACATTAAATCAAAGCACAGACCCCTAAGATATACAGTGCCTTCTCACTATGCTCAACACAATCAGCGCTCATTATTGAAAATAAGGTGCGAAATAAAATATTCCCGTACAATGCTCACCGATGTACTGCTGATGTCTATTTCTCGCCTAGTCAGCTGATTAAGCATATGCCACAGTTTGACTGCCGTAATTAGTTCTTGAAAAGGGTACTTCCCAGGGTTCCTTAGTCCCTGTTGGATATGCATATATACTCGTTTGTTTTAAGTTCGCTAAGTTTTTGAGGTGACGCTGGGGTATTTTTTTCTAATATTTTAATTTTGCCCATAAACGATATTTGTATAAATCAAAAAAATGTATTACTCAAGGCTCATCAAAAAGATACTAATTGGATATGCAATGTCAACATTACATATACTTCTCCGTATCTTTTTCTGCAACATAAACATATTCTGGAGGTTGGTATAGGTAGCGGTGCCCCATATGAGATGACAATAATTTAATTGTGAGTAGAATAATGAATGATATAATATTAACTTTGTTTTGAGTAATAAGATGTATTTATGACGATATACAATACCTTCGCCCGCCTGCATCGTACCGGCGTGCGACCGTGTATCACTACTGCGCGATGCACGTTAAAAACGCCTATACTGCACTGGCTAAATTTATAATATACAACGGGAAACAATGTCGCCGTACGAAACTCCTGCTATCTAAAAAACAAACAACTAATTTTGAATGCGCCGTGACGTTGAATTTTTAATGTGTGTTCGCGTGCTCGCGTTTTTTTTTTTTTTTTGTTTGTTTGTTAGTTTTTTGCATTTTTGATTATGTGGTTTTTACTTAGATGAAACAATATGGTTGCCTGATTTGTGGGTAAATATTATACAACTATATAAGAAAAGGACACGCTAACGCAAAAGACAAAAAACAAACATAACTTCACTTACTTAAAAAAAGGAAATAATATGATTGATTACAATTGTTTTTTAAATGCGAAAGCACTTCACGCCTAAATGAATTTAGGTCTGAGCGTACCAAAAGCTATAAAAGCGAGCTCCATGCTTTCAACGACTCTACCGAGCACGTGCGCTTGTTCCAGAAAGAGTAATTCAGGGCAGCATGCTCGCGCTTGTAGGTTTTGCTTCGCTCTCACGGCAAAACGAAATAATTTACTGGTAAAGTATTTGGTGGAACAA